TCTGGTAAACATCCTGCCCGGAGAATAGGATCTGCGTGTGGCAAGCTACGGGACAGAAACCGTTGGAATGTTTACTGCCACGTGCCGCTACAAATCTTTCTTTTAAGGAGAGCTATAGGATTACTCAATGCCTTTGTTAGATGGAGAGTTCGTCCCGTTGACCGCGGCCACGTTCGGCGACTAATTGTCGCCTTGAGCCCAAGCTCATTGTCACAAGTCTCAAACAAATACAATTGGTTAGAATGACGGCAAATCGTTTAGTTACAACTGTAGATTTTAATTACAATGTTTTTATGGATTTTCCCGAGGTTTCAGAGGGAAGGCACCGGTGTCCTCTTATCTCCGACATATTAATTTATTCATTTTTCATGGGTAATACCTTCATTCTTCTTCTGTAATTTCTGTACTTCATTCGGTGCAGCTTTACTCGATATGGTTTCCATAGTTGCTAATCGCCTCATCAGGATCTCGCTCTTTTCCTTTTCCGCCCTCTCGCATCGTGCTTGCAATTCTCTTACTTGTAGCCTTAACTGTTCTACCTCGCTCTAACGATAATAAAATCACACCGTTATTCCTTTAATTTTCACACACACGTGTGGATAATTATCAATCTTATCTACAGCACTAATCACTAATAATAAGATTATTATTGCTACAAGCGTACTACATATATGTATATAAACCGATTAGTAAGAAAGATTAGAAACGAAATGAAGAATGCTGTTATGGTTACTTTTTCCGTCCATTCTTCGCTTGCCATTCGTCGTTCTCCATTTTTTTCGCTGCTTTTCGAAGAACCAGTCTTCGACTTCTTCACCTGAATAGAAAAAGCAATGTACAACAAGGAAATTCAATTCTTCCATGTACGATTATTAACTTTTCTTTCGTGAAGCACTAAAAGGTAAACATAGTCAGATTAAGTGATAATTGATCGTGAGAATTGATAGCGGTAAAAAGAAAGTTGTTTACGTGGTGTAATCACGTGTATACATTTAGATGAACGTTCCATTCAATGAGCAAAGTTATTGAGATCTTCTTGAGAAGCTCAAGCGTGGTTAAATTTGCTGTCGTAAATGTACAACGTACACACATATACAAATAATTGAAAACATTCCAGCAGTTTGATTGCAAGTTGAACGAAAATGGTTCTGTTAAAAAGCTCCAAATTTTTGTTTATATGTATATCGTTAGTTTGGTAGAAAAATGATATAAATTAAAGAAAAGGAAATTTCTCAGGAAATTGCTTTGTAGGGTTTCTAATAAAATATTATTTAACAGTATCGCTTATTCAAGAGGGAGTTAAAATAATCCTATCTTGAATTTTGGCATTGTTATTGTTATATATTACAAGTTTTGTAATGAAGAACCTATTTGTAGATTAAATGTTTATAAATGTTTCAGAAGTGAAGATATTTCAGATATTTCACTTTTTTTCTAGCAAGTCGACAACGTAGTTACACATAAATGATTATTATAGACTGATAACAAAATGGAACAGTCATTTAACTAGGTTAATTGATTTTTAAAGCTTAAACGCATAAATATTTAGGAATAAATATTCAATTGAAACCAAATTAGCTCTTATTCATATATGTATACATATACATTAACAAATCCCAGTAATAACAAGATAAAAGTTACAACATTGCGATAAGCAACATTTAAAACTCACGAAATCTCAGAGCGATCGAAAATTTACCTGGATTATGAACTCGACGTCATTTTCTGAGGCGCTCTCATTGCTGTTATCTATAACCTCCTTAATTTGTAACTTGGTTGGCCTCCTATCTGCAAATAACGGGATGAATTTGACAACAAAGAAAAACACGCTTATCGATAATCTTGATAAAAAGCAATATTTATTATATGTAAGTACCTTCCAATCTCTCTTCGTTGTCGATAGCAGAAAGATCCATGAGCGAAGTCCAACCAGCTGCTGCGTACGATGACTCTGAGCTTGCTCTAAAGTCATCTTTTGCCAAATTTGTCGCTGAAGACCAACCACGTCTTCCATTCTCGGCAGATCTACGACACAAGTGTTATTGTAAACATTTGATATAACCTCCTATTAAAAATTCCTATGAATCAAATTCGACGATTTTATCGCAATTTGTAATTGATCCAATACAGATCAACTTTTATCTGAAATATTTTTGTGTTACATTATCAGAAGTGTTTAGAGAGCATTACTGCACACTGTTCTTCGCTGAATATTCTCAGTTCCACAACTGTTATCTTAAATACTATATTTTTATAATAATTATATAACTATTGTACAATAGCGTTTGTTTGTCCTATGGTTTTCATTTACTTGCCGTGCTCTTATACCAAACATTAGTTAAAATTATGAGGTGAAAAATCTATTTAACAGAATAAAGGTAATAAATTTAGATGAAGCTTTGGATAAAATTTCAGATTAATTGGATCATGAAACGACAGAACAAATGTTGGATCAGAGTCCTTTAAACTGTAAAAGCCTTTGGCTGGAGCTAAAATCCACCATGAAATAGTTATGGGTTTTATATCCCAGAATCATATCGAAAGACCAGCTCAGATTATTTCGGTATTTTGAGCCTGGAGTCATTATATTTTGGGAACTTTCCTTGGTGATTCTGGTTAGTTTCTCGAATTCCGATAGAAGATAGTTTCGGTGTATCTTAAGATTCTATTATTTCAACTGTCGAAGCCCCACGATTTTAAGATTACGTCTGCTTGTAATTTGTAAAGTATAGGATATAGCTAAACTTCATGCTATTATGATTATAGTTACCATCGCATATTCATCTATATCATTGCATATCATTGCATACTCATCTAAAAAAGACTTAATTTTTAATACATATGCTGCTAAAATTTACTCATTTTAGATGAATTGATAATAATATCTATGTTAGTTATAGGGAACGTAAAAAAAGTAAAAAAAAGTGGGACTCGTTTACTTTTCTAAAATCTAAAATTGGAAGTTTGACAAAAAGTTGAAATCTATTACGAAATAATTTCAATTTGAATTTCACCAAATTTAGTGTTCTTCGCGTTCTTTCTTTTTTTCGTATGCAACGTTTTACGAAATTGCAATTGAAATATCTTTTAAATTAATCATTTTTCGACCCAAGTATTTCAATATCTTTTTGTGAAAAAGTGCGTCGAATGGTTTATAAAAAATTATACTGTTAAAAAAGGAGTGCAATTGCATCTGCGAAAAAAACTAGTTAGCACGGTAGAGAATGTTAAAGAGTGCAAAATTTTCCTTTGCGATTTTCCTTTAACTTTACTTGAGTCAGAATTATGATCTGTCCTTGTTGCTAGAAACACCCTGTACATATTATATGTATAATCATTCTGTGATCCTATAATTACGGGTTAACGAATACAAATGAAATTAAAATCAGCCTGTTATAACCTCCGACTTTTGATACGTCCATAATCACAATTTCAGTGAATGGTTTCAATAATTATTTCCTCTTTCTATGCTTATTTTTGTTTCTTATTTTCCATATGTTGCGCATATGTATATACTACGAATAAATTTCGCTAAATGACTTTTCGCCTTCGAGGTTCTGGGATAAGTGCTGAGTCAGTCCTTTCGCCACGAAGTTCGCCACTTTCCTCACTCCGTGACCAGATTTTTCTAAATCATTCTTACTACTCTATACTATACGCGCACCACATGACGTCAGATCATCGGTTGTGGGTGCATTCCTGCAAACTCCGAACTCTGAACTTCGAAATTATACATTCGCAGCTTCCAAAGCTCTCTCAAATCTATATATCCACTCCTTAAAACAATGTACAGGTAGTGCGAGGTCTGCAACACAGACCCATGAGACTACCTCCGGACGGGCCAGTGACTGTCGGCTTTTTGACGAAATGTGTAGCTCCAGCTCCGGTTCCTGCAAGATAGAAGCAATGTTTTGTACTATCACTGTCTGTATTTACATAGCTGAAGTTGCACCTTTGATGTCGCCAAAAAGCCGACAACCATTGGCATTGGCTCGTCCAGAGGCAACCTCGTGGATCTGCCTCGTAGCCCTCGCATTGTCTGTAGTCTGCACATAGCTCTATAATCGAGCTTGTCGCCAAGTCACCCTCTTGAGAGACCTTGACACGTACAGTCGCTTTTTTAGAGTGATCTAACGCTACATATATGCGTGCGCGCGCGCGCGCGCGCGTGTGTGTGTATTTTGAACGAGTAGAATTTTTCCCTTATTATATCATGTAGTCATTTGAATGAATTGTAAGAGGCTTGTGTAATTTTTAATATACTCAAATTATGATTTTGCAAATGGAGTTATACCTTTAGTTATACAATTACCAGAATATAGTAACTAAGTTAAAAGGTTTGTATTCAATGCGATTTTCGGTAATAAGCTGCCGCCATCTTGAATTTCGATGGTGTTTTAATATGTTGTTGACGGCATAATTCTGAATAAGCTTTTGTAGTATATGTAACCGTCATTTGATCTTAATTTCCAAGATATTTGCAAAAAACTATCGGTACCACTACATTGAATTCTACCTCCAATTGTGCGTCCATGACAGCGTAAGCGCTAGTATTGTTTGCCGCTTACTTCACAGTTAAACTTCACACATACAATGACGCCTAAGTCAAACCTAATTCTTATCATTTGTTTATAGTTTATATATGTTTGAGTCAAGTGTCATTTTATCTGTGAAGTTTATCTGTAAACCAATGGTCGACAACCAATGCACTTACGCTGTCACGGACGCACAATTGGAGATAGAATTCAATGTAGTGGTACCAACAGATTTTTTGCAACTACATATCTCGAAAACTAAAAGAGCCCAATGGTAACATACAAAAGAAAAAGATTTTTAAAATGTTGATTTCTCTAATATATTAAAAAATCATCAGAATCTAAAATGGTGGCAGCTTTCTAAATAATTATTTAACAAATTTACGTTTCTATAGAAAATTTTATGTACATATTTTAATACATGTTATATGTTGTAATATGTATTCCACGTTTAATCATTTACATTACACATATGTTACCATATATTATCATTATTTATATGCACATATTTTTACATCAACTACTTGCACTCTTGCATAAATACATAAACATCTGCAATACTAATCACTTACCGGCCTGAAGATTGCTCGTACGATAAACTAGGTGACGACGACGTGATATCCTTCAAGCTATCTTTCTTGCCTCCGTGCTCCTTGTAATCTCTAAACATGTGTTTATTATGATTATTCAAGCCTTTTTAGCCAGATCTAATATCTTTTCTTCCTACTCTTTAACTGCAGTGACTACGAAAAGTATTTGCACCATTCTATTTAGATATTAATTAATTAGATCTAAGTATATTAAATTTTGTATTATTTAACCACCTTCATACTACAAAAATTTGGTATTATGAAGATAAAATTTAGTAAAAAAACTGCTTCATTGGAAAATAAGACTATGTGCAAATATTTCTTGTTGCCATTGTATATACATAACTTTTACAATGATAGAAATAGGCGACTAAATAATACCTGAAGCATCTTTTGCAACGGGTTGGCCATCGCACTTGTGGATGGAAACCAAGTGGACAGAGGGGATCTCCTTTCTTCGAGGAATACATGTGGTGCATTCTACATGTGAAAACGAGAAATATGAATCGTTACGAAACACAATGCAAGTGATCTTCTCGAATATAAACGTATACTTCCGGATAAGAAACACATGGCACAGAACTGAAAAATTTTATTGAATAACAAGCAGAAATATGAAAATATATTTCATTAACTTAACAATTAGTTTTTAATATACCACTATATAGTTCTGAAATGAAAACAAATATTTTTCCCATAATAAATAATACCCAATTTGGTGTTCCCATAATACCCAATTGTGGTCCACACCATTGCGTTTTTACCCATTTGTAGACAACTTGCAAATTTCTCTTCCGTCTGTAAATCATAATACTAATACATACTTCCATCTATTTGAACCATCAATTTATCTTTTCTCGTCAGTGAAAATAATATTTCTCCAGCTTTCAATTTATTTTAAATGTTTTGCGACAAATCCCAGCCTTTGCTTCCTACGAACATCTGTTAATTGGAAAAACGAATAGTATAAAGTATATTGACTTGATCAACCAATAAATACAAGCACATACAGTACGTATTGCGGAGAAAAATGCTTATTCCAACAAAATAATGCCGCGGCCGCACCGCACAGTCGGGTCATCCGACCCTAGATATGATAGAAAATTGTTGAGGTAAGCCAGTAAGAGCAGTTTGTAAAAATATACAATTCAAATAAAAAAAAATTCAATTTCAAAAGCTATTCAAATCGTCATCAAAAAGAATGACAGCAGTTGTAAAAAATAAAGGAAGTTCCACGAAATATTAACATGACAATATCTTTAATGAATCTGAGTAAATTTTCCTTTTTCTGCAGCATGTGCTATCATTTTGTCCGACTGTATTCTTGTCATATTTCTAATTTTGCAGGAAAGATATCAATTTTCACTTCAGAACTATATAGTGGTATTAATATTAGGTCGTTCGAAAAGTTTCTTTCGTTTTATAAGAAAATAATGAATGCACAACATTTTCCGTTTTATATTATTTTATCGAATTATGTATGATCAATTTTATTCTATCAAAATAAGGATCACAACGTTCGACAGATTAGGTTTCATGTTTGTATAAAGATGCATCATTGTAAAAGACGGGTCTGTAAAAGAAAAGACACATGTATATTCGGACAACCTAATAAAAACTAGCTTTCAAGTTAATAAAATATATCTATGTATTTCTGCTTGTTATTCAATAAAATTTTCCGAATTTGTGCTATATGCTATTTGTTTGTCCGGAAGTGTACTTAGTAGCTTTCTATTATACAATAGGTAAATATCGTAGATGTTTGGCATGTCATACTTCTAGTCGCGTGCAGTGCAACACATAGGTTAAATCGACACTTAGACACGACGTCAGTTTACATGATGCGAGATAACGCGATGCATGCTTGTAGAAGTGGTTTTTCGATAGAACAAGAATATTTTCGCTCGTCCAGGGAGACGTTACGGTTGACGGTTAGTAGGGAGCGTTCGGAACGATTCCAAGTTTTTCAATAGTATGATAATTCGAATCACTTTAAAGATGATTCTTATAATTCTTGAAACTTTTAAGTTGGAGATCTTGGTAGATGTTGAATATTGGAACTTAGTGTAGTAGTTATAAGAAGTATTTACACGCTGGTTAATTAGACCAATTACATATATTAAATTTGCATCCTTTAATAGTACACGCTTTTATATGACAATAAACACTTAATACTATGAAAATGGATGTAGAACCTGATTAAAAATAAGGATCTGTGCAAATACTTTTTGTAACTTCTATAGATCTTTAAGATTTTGATAAATCTTGAAACTCTCAATACATTTCAAAGCTTGATGATTATTCAGTATATGGTTATATGTATACTATAAAATATCGAATACCTCTAAACTCTCAAAACATTGAAACCTATCAAATCTATCAATATTTAACCAAACTTTAAATATTCAAGACCTATTAAGATCTTTAAGAGAGTTAAATATAAAATCTGTTCAAAGTGATTCAAATTTTTCGCCACATGTAACGTCTACATATATCCGAAACGGTTTAAAGCTCCAGAGTGCATAGCTAGTTGCAAGACGTAGTTCATTACACATAAATAACCGATGAATTTGTACTCTGGTATCGTGCTGTTTGTAAATAAGAAAATAAATCATTAGTATCGAGGTGTCAACATATGACATAAACACACACACACATATATGTATATATGAAGTATTAGATTTTGTGTACTAATAGTATAGATAAATAATTTGCTTTCCATTTATTTTAATCATAGTTAATACACGTTGTCAGCCATAAATATTGGGACAGGTACATTCATTGAAGGATTTTAACACATTTTACTTTACTCTGTATTTTAAATTATTAATAAATAATAGATTTATAATAAGATACATAAAAGATAAAAACAGTGAGAAACATATAATTTGTATTAAATATCAGTTAATGTTTTAATATTCATGACCGACAGTACAAGTGTAAGACAGCGAGTAGAAACAAGAACGGTGACATGTGATTCATCACAGGGATCCTGATAAACTGTGTCGTACCACCATAAACGAGTTACGTGAGAAATATACGAGGTTGGTAATCAGAAATCTCGACGATTTCCAGCAGAGCATATCTCGCAAAAGCGTCACATGGGGCGCAGATATATTTCGATGTGCCTTTCACAATTCTAACAGGTATAAAGGCTTGCTCAACGAACAATCGATATTGACGTTAGCAGAATTTACCTAAAAATAAAACCTTGAATTAATATAATAAGAGAATAAGAGTTTCGTAAGCAGTGAAGACGAGACTTAAGGTGAGGCTTGGTTTTCGACGAATCGCGAAATACTTGGCAAGGGATAAATGAAATTCAGCTCGAAACTATGTTTTATAGATCAAATAGTTATAATGTACGTTTAGGAAACCTTGATGGAATCTACAGCCTGTGTGTCGACGCGGTTCCAAATTGTCTTTCATCCATCAACGGTGCCATTATTTGTCCGATTTCTAATAATAAATTTGTGGAAAAAATAAATAAATACTTCTATAAATCTAAATGTGAATATTTATGCATTTAAAGAACATTGAAAAGTAAAAGATTTACTTTATAGAATGCACGTAATATGAAGAAATATTGGACTGTTTGGAAAATTCATAGTGTTTTTACTAGTTAATTTATTCTCTTGTATTCTGTATATTATATTAGAAAAAATAATGGGTAAAGTATTTAATAGTAGTGATGAAAAATTATAAAAATATACGGTGCAAGTATTGTTTATCGATGTACTAATTTCATAAATATGCAATATCTTCAACTTGTTAATAAATTTAAATAAATTTCGCTACGAACTTCCAAAAAATCCAATATATAAAATATTCAAAGTGAAGCACATGTTATGATAGTAGACGAAATATATCTATTCAGGTTTCAGTTCTTTAATTATTTGGATAAAAGTGCGGATTTGCATATACGTCTGCAGTCTATTAATCAATATGGAATGTGCAATCTCGTTACTCTTTTATGTTCACTCGGTATCAAATTTTTCGATTTCGATATTATTTAGTATACATTTGGCTTAAATGAAAATATATTATCAACGTCTAACAGATTTTTTGTCATAAACAATCTTAATCATTGGATTAAAACAAGTTTGCATCGCTTTATTATATATGCTGGGGTTTTCATACAATCGATATATCTAATTAAGAAACATCGATCCAATAAGATCTTCGTATTACAATCATTGAACCCACACCGAATCGATGTTCTTCTCCACAAAAAACTTCACGCTTCTAACACTTTATGTTTCCGAATTCCATAACAAAAATCGCTAATTGTATTTTAACGCATAGAATACGATTTTTAAACTTACTTTCTTTCTGCTGAGTCAATATGTAGTTCCAGTTCTCAAAAACTTTAATCCGACTTTGAATAGCATTCCATAAAATACTCCTCTTATTCAAACAATCGAACACACACAAGATTTCTCTCTTTCTCTCGATTTCGAACTCGATTTGATCTTATGCAATTTCATATCGATCAGCGTGTAAGTACTTACTTGATCGATGTTCACCCAAATGCAGCAGGCGGGTGGGATTAAATTTGTCCTAGGCGTCGTTAAAAATGCTCGAGCGCATTTTTCATGAGTACATCTTTCATTTCGAGGATACAAAATACGAGGAAACCCTCTAGTCTCATATTAAACGAATATAATAAACGAACAACATAAGTATAATTGTAATCTTGTAACCGATCACTAGGCGTAACGAGTGCACTTGTTCAAAGCGTTTCTCTATTTTTTAACATTCACGGTTCGTTTACATGTTTCGACGTTTTTCACTGACGCACTGATTTCTTCTTTTCCCTTATTTTTGTTCTCTAGGTAGTTGCGACGATCACAACGTCGATAGACGTCACTAATACCACTGACACGGTGCTGCTATTACGAGGGTTAGGCCGTTACTCGCTTCGGACTCGCACGTATGATAATTTGGATCACTGCCAAAATGTATATTTATCTCTAGCTATAAATATATTGCGCTTCTTTACGAGTATTTTGCGCACACATACGCGTACGCGTGGGGTTAAAGGTATCTACAGAAGCAATACCGCATCTGGCCAGTTAACAAGGGAGGATTTCTATACCTGTATTCTCTTACACAATTAACCCTGCTACGTTCTTTTGGTTATGATCGATCTAATCGTATTTTTTAATATACTCTGCAGTTTTAGAAAAATATGAAAGAAATGTTATTAGTACCCTACATATGTAATGTATGCCAATAACTAGATTGTGGATTTTTATGCATTTATGTGAAATTTAAAGATACAAGAGTGGACAGAATGTATATAATATACATATATATATATAACTTCATATTCATTACAATTTGTAGGAAACGAATCTCTGTTTAAATTCTATTTCTTTAAAGTTGTATTATATACAGGAGATCCTTACTTTGTTCCGTATAACTTTGCCAATAGAATCTACAAGTGAAAATAAGTAAGAATATCATATAAAAATACGCTCAAAAATGCTTTGTTATAAAATTATGACAAAAATTCGAAACAATTGACGATATATACCTACGTTAGTTCCATTTCAAAGTGTCGTCCATTCTGATAAATACAGCTTTGGCATTTGTCAGATATTGAATTTATTGCAAATTTCTCGTTGATTTCCTTGTATTTTATTGAGCATGATTCATTTATAAATTATAAATATTTTTGCATTAATTCCTCTTATATATTAACGACCTCAGGATTTACACAGCTTCTATAAACAGATCAGATAAATATTGCCAATCTGTTCTTATGCTATCGAACGAAAATCTATACGTTGTTATTTCGAATTTTTGTTATAGTTTCTTAACAAAGCATTTTTAAACTTATGTTTATATGATACTTTTTTTTAATTTCACTCATAGAATCTGTTGGCAAAGTTATACGGAAAAGCGTAGGCACAACCTGTATAATAATATATCGTATAGTATAAAAATATAAATTTGTATAAAAATCTGCAGTCCAATTATTGTTCCATAAGGTTTAAACAAGTAATTCAACAGGTTTTTTTCATACTAGAAGTTGCAAGGTGCAAACTGTTTATTAATATTAATGATTATACAAATACTCAGTCATTCAGAATTATACTCAGGAACATTACACATAAAATTATTCTCTCCACCTTGAACATAGTACATTTATACGCAACTGCACAAAAACATCTAGAACAAATTTTGCAAATTTATCCCTGTTTTTGTTAAAAATAAGTAGTTAATGATATGTATTATCGAACGATGCATTTTAATACGATCTTTAAGTTAGCGTTAATTAAAAACGCTATGGATAAACGTATTTACCATCGCTAATAATGCGAATTATATGATACGAAATTATTTTGTAAAACTCAGCATACAATAAGGTACTAGAGTATATGGAATAAAAGTTAAAGACAAAAATTGATAAGGATTGTCTTTATTATGAGCTCTTTAATTATTGTATAGTTTTCACTTTCTTTTCACCGCATTACAATTTTATAGGTGATAATTTGGTAGATGACAGTCGTCATTATTAACTATATATCCAATGGCATATTGCCCATAATATATTCCCGGTTTACGTACATCTTTTGCTACCAGTTATTAACACTAACTTTACCAGGCCCGTCCTAATAATCGGTTTCCAAATTTAATTTAAAATTGTACATTCATCGTTATTTCTTTTATTCACTTAACTTTATATAATTCTTATATTATCTGATTAATCAATTTCTCAATTTCTGTTAATATAAGAATTTACATAAAGTCAGATGAGCAAAAGAAATAACGAATGTACAATTTTTAACTAAATTTTGGAACCGATCATTTGACCGGATCTGGTAAGGTTAGTGTCAAGCAATCTCGAAAATGGAAATTGTATTCTATTATACTATTGTAAAAGAAGATTTGTTAATGAAAAGTAACTATTTTCTTTCAGAAATTTAAATTTTAATTGAAATTTTAATTTTCTATATTTATTATCTTAAATTATATTGTAATGTAGTACATTACAATTTTCTATTTGTTATATTATTTGTAATTATGAATTTATATTGCTTACAATTGTATAAAATTCTTAGTTTACGAACATGTTACATGTAATCAATTAAAATCTCACGTGTAATATGTATTGAAGAATTCCTTTCACTGATAGAAAACCAGTTTCAGTGAAACCTTAACAAGTTGTGATAAATTGTGAAATACCGCTATTCATCAAGCACGTAATGCTTATGAATACGCAAGGAATATCTTCATGGAGGCAAGGAACAAGATTCATTAAAAAAAAAAGCACTATAATTTGTTCGTTTCATTTATTTTATAGTAAAAAACAAATATCGTTAATAAATTCAATACCCTACACCTTCATCACGTAATTTTTTTATTTATTTTTTATTATATCTTGCTTCTGAATTTATATCATCTATGTTTTTCATCATTTTTAAAATTCTATAAAAACTTTTCTTTTTTTTTACATCTTTTCTTATATACATATCTATTACCTTTGAACAGATATTTTTTTTTAAAGAACATAACTTGATGACATATTACAACCAATTCAATAAACTCAGAATAAAATTGCTAATTTGACTTAGAAACTGAACACAATTATTTCTAAGAAATAATTAAGATTTGTTCTTGACTACAAATTGGGTTGAGTTACAGTTCATTTAAGAATTAGATAAGACTGACAGATAAAAATACTTTATATTTAATGTGAAACAAGAAAATTATTGTTATTTTTTTGTTTATTCACTTTTTTTCTTATCAAATATAATTCTCTCAAAGTGGAATAACATTTATAAAAATAGAATTTTAAGATAAATAGTAACTATCAGTATATCTCATATAAAAACTTTCTAAAAAGCTTTCTTCTTTTTAATTATATAATAACGATATCATATTTTAAATAATTCAATTTCGTGTACGCGTACACAATAACAATTGAGAACAGTGTATATTAAATTATATAACTTTAGATAGTGGAATGAGAGTGTGTATACTTTGATTAAGTATTCAGATTATAAATAAAATAAAAAAAGAATAGTAAAATAGCATACGCAATGCTCTGATTTCTGGAATTAGATTTACGTCGTCTTCGATATTGAAAGATTGTTTTCATTGACTTAATGCCCTTTATAGTTTAGATCGAAGAAGTTCAATCTTTTTGCCTGCACGCTTTTGTAACTCGATTAGTTTCATTGCCATTCCCATGTTACCTTGGATCTTAATTTTTCCTTGGAAAAATGCTTTTTGCGGATTCAATTTTCCGGAAATAAAATCGACAATGTCCATATCGCTAATCGTAATTATAACATCGGGTTTGGTTTTTCCATTATATTCTACTTTTCCTTTTCCTACTTTACTATCCACAACCCAAAAGCCTTCCGCGCCTCCTGGTCCGTCGATTACTTTAAATCCGAATACTCCGCGAACTTTTTCGACCAGATTTTCTTCATCCTCTTGCATTGCGATGTCTAATAATTTAAACAACGCACTTGCCTTGAACTGGTCCGGATCAGATGCACTTAAGTTACTCTTAGTTATATCAGGTTGATTGAAGCCCATACGATACAGAGCAACCACAACTACTCCACCTAAACCTATGTTATGTTGAAGAGCAAGTTTTGCATTTGGCACTTGTCGTTTGCCAGCTTCTCCTCGAAGTTGCCAACAAAGTTCAGCGCATTGTGCCAATCCTGTTGCTCCCAAAGGATGTCCCTTTGAGATCAAACCACCACTAGGATTTATTACATATTTCCCTCTGTATGTATTATCTCCAGTATCAACTAACTTTCCACCATCACCTGGAGGACAAAGACCCAATGCTTCATATGTAATAAGTTCATTAGTAGAAAAGCAATCATGTAATTCTATAACATCCACATCTGATGGCTTGTAAGAAGATTGAGTGAACACCTTTTCAGCAGCACGTTTTGTCATATCATAGCTGTAAAGTAAACAAATATTACTTACCTCTCTTAATGTTGACAAATTGCCAAATACATGATATACATTGATGTTTTTTACCCAACAAGTTTAATAGAACTCTTCTCTGTGAATGTCGAAGCTAGATCTGAGACCATTTCCATTGCTACAATTTCTACTGCCTGAGACTCAAGTCCACGTTTACGAACAAAGTCTTCATTAGCCACAACTACAGCTGCTGCACCATCGGATGTTGGACAACACTGAAGCTTGGTAAGAGGTCCAAATACTTGTGGAGATTTCATTACCTCGTCCAATGTGTATCTTTCTTGGAACTGTGAGTATGGATTGTTTGTAGAATGTAAATGATTTTTACACGCAATTTTCGCAAAGTGCTCAAGTTTGGTACCATATTTCTTCATATGTTCAAGTCCAGCATTTCCAAACAATTGGGCAGTGACTGGGCTTTCGTTTATACCTGGGAATAAAAATACAAATAAGTAATGAAAGAGAAAAAAAACTAATAATGGAACACAAATTCTTTACAAAAAGTAGCTCAAAAATAATTTGTGACGATTCACCAGCAATATGAACCATGAGTTCCACATGTTTGTCCAACGGATTGGTACGATCCATATATTTAGGCATTACAGAACCTGTTTCCATTTTTTCAAAACCAAGAGCCAACACACAATCACTAGAGCCACTTTCAATAAACTGTTTAGCCATCATTAAAGCGGTTGAGCCAGTGGCGCAATTATTATTTACATTATATATAGGACAACCGGTAAAACCCATTTGATACAACGCTCGTTGACCACAAGCAGAATCACCATATACATATCCAACACATGCTGCTTTCACATTATCATAAGAAACTTTTGCATCTTGCAAAGCTTTTGTAACTGCTTCCTTCACCATGACCGGATAATCGAAATCTGTCCGTTTACCCGGTTTCTCGAATTTTGTCATACCGACACCAATAATATAAACCTTTGTCCTCTGTGACATTTTGAAGTTTTCTTAGAAGTAGAGTGGACTCTGGAATTTCAAGAAAAAATAATAAGTATACTTAGATGTTCTTTTCCTTGGACACAGCTGTTTAAAACGTAATTACTTATTAATAAATACTACGTACTGAACTTTATTCTTACTTATAGCTATCTAATAATACAAAAATGAAAATTGACAAAACTATTTTGTGAGTAGGTCAATTGCACTCAGTTGCTAAATGTTAAATGACCATAGATTCGTTAACACAGTGTTCGTCGCCAGTTGCCACTTTAGTAATCACCGTCGCCAGACATGACTAAGAAGTAGGGAGTATGGAGTAGGGAAATCGTCAATGTTTACGGGTGAAAAATGGACACTAAGGATAAGGGCCTCTCGTGGTCAACAGCTGTACTATCATTACGTCTCGTCTTTGGTGCTCTTGGTGGGAGAAACATGCTAATGCTAACAGCGAGAGAAAGTAGAAATGTGTGACCAGCGACCCTGACTCGTATCGTTGAGCAGTGAAGAGGAAATATGCGCACGACATAGGACAGTGGCGGAACAAATATATATGTACATACATATTGTTAGCTATGACATGTTACTAGGACGTTGATTGATATTTAGTATCAATTACAGCTTTTTATATAATTATAGCTTTTTATATAATTAGCTTTTTATATAATTTTATTTTCTAGTTATTTAGTAAACTTAAAGAAACGTTGCTTCCTTTGGGATTTCGATGATTCTTGACTATATTGTAAAGCTCAATATTTTAAAAAACTTCTGTTTGTACATATAACCGGTGGTCGGTCTTAGTTTTCAAGATATTTGTAAAAAACCATTGATATCGCTATAACGTATTTCTGCATATGATTGTGCGTTTGTGGCAGCATATGCATCAGTTGGTTGCCGGCCGCTGGCCGCTTATCTTTTGTTTATAAAAGAGGGTCAGACGAGTTTAAAGCCTCTATGCACAACACATATGCGATGCTGTAAGAAATATCTATTTAGATTATAGATAACAACGGGAACTGTTTCGAGTGATGAGTTTCATAAAGTAGCGGGAATAGTTGGTATCCTTTTAAAGAGACAAATTCGTTTAAAGAGGCAAATTCGTGCTTACTAAGGATGTGTGGATACGCGAGATTACGGCTTCGGGCGGCCTTGGAAAAAGTCGGATAGACACTTACATGCGACATACAGATGCTCGGAATGTTCGATACTTTCCACTTTAACTTTACATTTACGCTTTCTATCTTTACGTCGTAAAGTTTTCGACGCTTAATTATTTACACTTTAATTAGGAACAGAAAGTACGTTTTAACGTATTTTTTAATTTTTAAATATGTTTGTTCTAAATTTGCAAATTGGACATTGTTTATATCATTTAATTAACCTCCTTTGGTTCGACAAAACGAAACCGTGTTCCTCTTTTTAAATTGCGCTTTTTGCTATAAATTGCTTCATTATATTCAGAAATTATCGAAATTGGTTGAGGACCATCTTTAAAATAGATAGTTGACAACAAATCTATCTACACTGTTAGACATAAGTATTAGTATATCTACTTGTCATATTTATTAGATAATTCTAACAAATTTTACTTTATTTAGTCTTCATTACAAGCCATGTATAATGCAAATGGAATAATAAATTTATAATAAAATAACTAGGAAATAAAAACAATGAAAGACATGTGATTTATATTACAACAACAGTCAGTATCCTAGTACTCATTGCTGGCAGTATATCTGTACATATATATATGTTTGCTTTGGCAGTGCTATGTGCCGTGTGCACATTCCTCCTCCAGTACTCACCGATACAAGCTAGAGTCACGATCATACATTTCTCCTCTCGCCGAGCATTCGTTCGTTTCTCCCGATTCCCGAATACGAAATCGGCGAACAGTGCAACCGTTGACCACGAGAGGCCCTTATTCCTAATGTCAATTTTTTGACAGATTTTTCTAACATTGTTCTCGAGATCTCTCTATTCATCTCTATTTGCCGTACTTCTGACCTTCTATTGCGAAATAGATAGAATTCTATTGCGATTCTAATGCGAAAATTCTGACCGATAGACGTGCTTGTTATTATGATTGTATTGGGTTCATCAGAAATAACCAATCAAATTTGCGTTCGTTTCAGGAAACTTCTCTCCATCTCTACATTTACTTAATACTAACTTAAGTTACAATCTTTCTACTCGAGATGTCGCTTCCTAAGTATCATTAAATTTGGTTTTCTATAGATACAATAATTAATTTTCTAAATAAAGTTTGTAATTAAACTGGGATATAAATTATTAACCTAACTAATGGTAAATTTGCAGTAAAAGAAATACTACGGCAGTTAGTGTTTAATCGATTCAGGTTTAAGAAAGATGTTACGTAAATTTGTTTTATTTACATAACATGTTTAATTTACATAACATAATTTACATTTTTAGACGTTATTGTTAAATGAATTAAGCATTAATCCTTATACGACTTGTAATATCTATAGTTTACGTTTTGTTTAATTAGTAATAAAATTATTCTCAATTAATTGTTATTATTCTTAAATTAGAGGTAATCAATCATAAAAATACGATATGAAAAGAGATTATTTATGATTGATCTGTTACTAGCAAAGAGGAAATTTCCTCTCTATTATTAGCCCTGAGAGAACCAAAGTCCGAACTGTTACCTGGAAAACGTTATCATAGATTTCTTTTGTGGTATTATTTAATATAGAGATCAATTAAGAAGTTTGAAGGCGAAATGTAGTGTATCCTGTGAAAAAATGCTGTTTCTGAATTTTGTCTCCAGCTAACTAATTTGTGTTTATAAATGTCAATTATGATTTGATATAATTATAAATAATTGTAAGAGTTTCAATAATTAATGTATTATTTTAGTTAACGAAAATCTAAAACCGTATTTACGATATCAAGAATTTAATTGTTTTCACGATTTAAGAATAATAAATAAAACAATTGTCATGGACATCGAGGACAACATTTTTAACATTTTATAAATTATTAATGTCAATATTAAGACCTTAATGCATTATTTTAAATTATACTTACAAATTAAGTTATACAAATCCTAATTTAGATTGTTTATAAACATAGAAGTACACAGTGATGACTATATGTATAAATTGAGCAAACTAGCCAAGTTACTTATAAATGCATTATTAACTAATTATTCAAAACTAATATTCTCGAAAACAAATTTATCTAAAACATCCTGCATTTTTAATTTATTTTTATACTGGAATCAGCTTCTTTCTGACTGTGTATCGATTACAAAATTAAATTATTAAACATGATTTTCTTCTGTATTATCAATATGCGTATTCATATCATTATTTGATTATCAAAGACATTAAAAAATTCCCGGTATATTCCGGATTTTGTCAAATACTGTAATGCAATACGATTTTTGTATATGTTATAATATTTACTAATATTTAGCTCTTATATGACAGAAAGAAAATGTTGACATTGCTCATAATTAGACTATGGATTTTTATGCATTTGTACAAAATTTCAAATATGTATACACATAATATGCAAAAATATATGAAATGTCTAAAGTAGAGTGGATCTATAATAATTTTCTATATTTTGTTAATAGGTAAAACGAGTCACTGCGATTTATAAGTTCTACATTAATTGTATTGATAAAAATATAGAATAAAAAATAACAATATGAAGAATAAAAATCCACAATTGATTCATAATTCTACACGTGAAAACTATTCAAGAAACATTAGATATAATCAAAACATGTTTATATCTCAGAAAAGACAGTCCTTGGATCTATGTTTACATGACTTTTTTTCATTCTCAGGAAGGATAAACGATGTTACTAAAGCTTACTTATTTCAGTGTTACCCTGTATACTGGAAAATCGCGCCGGCCATTGCGCGCTCGTGTTTTGGTTCTAAAAAGATGGCGGACTCTTGTTTTCAAGATCGGTCACATAGAAATACGATAGTTTTCAGATACCCAGCGAAAGTTGACATATTACGTGTACAATAATACCGAGTGGATGAAATTATCGTTGCTACGGATTTACTGGTGGGATCGAAGAAGTTTCATTGAGGTTCGTAAGCGACGTGAAAGCGGTGTCTTTAGCGTGCATATTAGACGAACTCCGAAGCGAAGTGATTTTCAGAAATTTCGGTTGTTTTCTGTGCGAAACAGAGTTCGACGAATTGGAAAACGTTATCGGGATAAAAAGGATAAGATGGTTTGATCCGAATGAACGTTCACGAGGTTTAATAACCCGACGATCGACATAGTAGCGATACTTACTTGGTTAGGTTGATTGTCTAGGTATATAGACATACCTATGATAGCAGAACAAAGTTCCACGTGTTCCTCTCGGTGGTTCACGTTAAAACGTGACGTTGAATTAACCTTGTAAACATCACGTTAAATGTGTTATTCCAATCTATAATGGCGTCAAGTGATTTTGATGTGGAGCTCTTCGAACGAAGGCTTCACACATTGAAAGATTCGCAGGAGTCAATACAAGGTCTTTCTGCTTGGTGTTTGGAGAGGAGACAGCACCATAAGAAGATTGTTGCTACCTGGTTGCAAGTTCTTAAGAAGGGTAAGTTTATATTTTTTGTTCAATATGAAATCATTGCTGTATTTAGTTCTAAGTTTTATTTTTCTTTGTTTATGTTTTAAGATTTAGATTATTTGTGTTGTTGGTATTGGGAAATAGAGTGATCTTAAAGGGTTTTATTAAGAATGTAAACTGTAATTGATGAGATATTTAATTTTTTATAGTAAAATATTAAAAATTTATGTATTATGTTATTCTAATATTTGATTCCATTATTGTCATTAGAAATATACATGCTGTTATATAAATTTTTATTTGTAATTATTTAGTTTAATACATTTTGAGGTAGTTCTTGAGTTATATCAATTTTTTTTATTGATTTGTAACTTGTAAGATAACAGTGACATTTTCTTAAATGACAGTAAAAGTTGAACACCGTCTTACACTTTTTTATCTGGCAAATGATGTTATACAATACTCCAAGAGAAAAAATTTTGAATTTGTGGAATCCTGGGGCACAACTCTGCAACGAGCAACGACCATGGTTAGAGATGAGAAAGTGAAACATCGTATATTAAGGATTTTTAAAATTTGGGATCAGAGACAAGTGTATGATGAAGAATTCCTGGCAGACCTATCCGGATTAATTTCAGCAGCTCCAAAAAAGAAATTAGAACCCCAGCCAACAGTACCTCCAGAAGAATTTCAAGCTGCTTTACTCATTTCTACTATGAGATCATGTGCTACACTGGAGCAAGCAACTGATGCTCGATTAAGAGATTTACGTGACAGCAATATAGATATAGAGAATGCAGAAGAATTATGTGCTTCTTTGAAAGATAGGAGAAGGGTTGAAGATGCAGAAAAGGAAGTGGATTTGGCAGTTAGAAATGTTGAAAATTATGTACGTGCATTGGAGGCAGAAATTAGAGAAAGAACTCAAGTACTTGAGCTGTTAGAACAGGCTGATCAATTTTATGAAACTCAAAGAGGTGAAGTGAAAATAGTTACTAATGTAAGTACATTAAAAAAAATCAGTGTACTATCCATAATACTTATTAATGTTTCTTAACATTCTTAAAATTCTTTATCAATAGGCATACAGAAATTTTGGTAGTCGTGTAAAAAATTTGAAGAAAAAATTGGATGAGCTTTTACCAACATTAGTTTCACCAATTCCATCACCAGACATAAATGCTCCATCTCCAAGTCCTGATAGTGATATAGAACTTCCAGGAGAAGAAAATCAATCTCAAAATCAGTTAGGAGTTATAGATGTAGCACCACCATCTATGTATGGTTCATATTCTCATGAATATGATCCAGTACCTGTACCAGCTCCAGAAATGGGCCAAGGCAATGATTCCGGTGATTTTACTAATAATTTTTCATCTTTTATGGGAGGAAATGTGGATTTTGGTAATATGGTAAGACACTAAAGTTAGAAGACCATATTAATTCCAACGAATATTATTGTAAATCATTCGTTTTTTACATTAAAGCGAAACATATTTAATGAAAGATCGTTAACTCCTACTGGAATGTCACAGCAATATAACGAATCATTGGAGGTATATATTTAATCAAAATAAACATTTATTATTTGATAAAACATAATAAAGATATTATGCATATTTTACTAGGCTAAACCAATAGAAGTAATCAACATGAGGCCCTCCAAAAATGAAAGTAATAGTGCAGATTTTAATATCTCTAGTTTTTTAAAGACTGTTCTTCCTTCCTCTGATGGATCTCAAGATCCTGGTGGTATTCCTGGTCTTGGTTTAGATATTCCAGAATCGCGAGTAGAATCTCCACAGCGTTCAAATTATAGACACTCACCTATACTAGGGCAGCATTCAGTAACCCCTGTGATCTCAAGAATTATGGGAAATCAAAACACACCTATTGGTGTGAATAATTGTCCTATAACCCACAGTACTCCATTACCTGTTCGAAACTTATCCGGCGAGTCGCATACTCCTTCACCGTATTCCAGTCAAAACAGCCAGAGTAATATTACTGTACCTTTTGATGGCCCAACTAATAATAATACTGTTAATCCTTTACCACCTCCACCATTACCTCCACCAATTTTTCTCGACGATGAAAACTGTTATAATAAGTTACCACCTAAGTTTCCAACATGGACACCTACGAGTGAAACAATGAAGGAACCAGCCAAATGGGAGGAAAAGGGTATGAATTTATTTTGCAATATAACATATAAAAATTTTGATATCAGCTCTATAAGTTTATAACATAGCAGGTTCCGTAATATTTCCAGGAAAAAATAGTATGAATCCAACTTGGCCTGGTGAATGCGATGAAAAAGCAAAAACTTGGATAGATGGTGATATGGATAGATGGGATCCTAGTAACGAAACTACGTGGACTAACGCTGTTAGAGGGAAAAATGAAATCTTATCTGAAACACCAGAGTCACCACCCATGTATGAGAAAGCTGGATTTACAGATCCAGTTGAATACGATGACTCTCAACCACAAGAATCTCTTTTAAGTACTGCTGGAGATGTAGATCATAGGTGAAGAATTTAATAACAATTCAAAAAGAATCATTTCATATATGTGTACTCATCAGGGAATTTTGAGCAAAAACATATTTAATTTATTATTTTTCAGAGTAATACCTATCCCGATAACGGTAGAGAATCAATTACCATATCGTTTGATGAAAGCAGCGGATGTTGATCATCGAAACTTGATTAGTTTAACAGGAAGTCCGGCGAATCATAATGTCAACGACAATTCTATGAATGCGTTAGCTAACAGTAACAACTTGTGGTCCACAGGCGATCAAGATTACCGGTAAGATACTGAAACTCGCTCAATTACTAGAATTTTGTAGGATTGCCATAGCAGTTTTAATTTTCACCGTAACAACTTTAATGCTTTGTAATACGGAATCAGGCAACACATGCAACCAGGCGATATTGTGGAAAGCGTCGACATGGAAATGTCGGACGACGAGACTGACAGTAAGCCAAAGGGAAGGGTTTTAGTTGACGTTCGATCACAAGACAGGGATATGAGAGTCGGTAATCAATCAGCGACTTCACAGCACATGGACATGGACATGCGAATGATTCCGCTTCCCGCGGGTCAAATGCCAGGATCTCACGGACAAATAATGCAAGACGTGCACATGATGCATTCAGGGCCACTTCCGCCCCCACCTCCGCCACCGCAGTTTCATCCAGGCCAACCATCATTTCATCAAGATCAAACAGACTTTCGACACAATCCCGCAGAATTTCATCCAGCTCAATCAAATTTTCATCAAAACAGGCCACCGCCAAATTTCATCCAAAACCAGCAGGATTTTCCACAAGAATTCCATCAAATGCACCAAACTCAGTCAGAATTTTCAAAGCAAGAGTTTGAGTATCGTGAAAATCACGCATTACGACCTAATCAGGAGTTCCTTGGTGAGCCACAAATGCGTGGCAGGTACTCTCAATCAACGGAGCACCAGCATAGAGATATCGGTTTTCATCGGAACGACCGAGGAGGTCGAGGTAGTCGTGGTTTTCCAAGGAACCGACGAGACAGATACTCGGATGATCACAAGCAAAGGAACCTTCAAAACAGTCGCAAATCCCGATCGCAAGAGCAACATCAGAGGTCGTCCCCAGAAATCCTACCAAACAGTCGCCCTTTACTGGTACCAGCACCAGACACTGTTGTCATTCTCGACGAAGATGGTATGCCCATAGGACTGTCCAACGAAAACAAAGCGCCAACGAATGAAGAGCATCTTCCAGACACCGAACAAGAAGAAAACTGTCAAGATCGTAGATTACTACACGGCACACCAAACTCACGGAGCCTCGACCAGCAATCTGTATACTCAAGTGGTTCGAATCTTCACGAACACGAGTCTGAACCTCCAATTATGGAGACGGACGAACAACAAGCAATGAACCAAGTGACTGTTGTACCCGTGATAACGGAGCCTAAAGACTCGCAGCACAATCAATATGTTCCTGTCTCAGAATATGAAGAACACATTGAACCAGAAGCTATAATCTCAGAGAAGACCTGTGACAGTAGCGAATCTATTGAAAATACGGGTCAAGAAATGAATCTGCCCGAGCAGTCGCAACAGCAACACATACCAGATCAAGTAGACGATCTTGGAAATTCAACGCCAAGCAACGAATTGAAGAGACCGTCGACGAATGGTAGCTTTGACGAGAACGATGTTAGCTGTAGTAAAAAGAGAATCGTGTCGAACGGGCCGCAGACACCGACAGAGTCTGACGCTGGTTTGAACGGGCCGATACCACAGGCCTCGGCGGAATCACATCAAGGAATGTACGACTTCGACGGTCCCGTTGGGCCGAACTTTCGACCGCGTCTCGGTGGTCCGGTTCCATTTCCTCCTTGGAGGGGTGGTCCACCTCGTGGTAGGGGTTTCAGAGGTGGTCCAAGAGCTCCTTGGATGGACAGGGGACCTCGTGGACCTGTGATCGGTAACTTCATGCCGAGGGGACTGAAACGCGGTGGACAATTTAGGGGTAACGGCTTCAGAGGTCGGGGACGTGGTAACAATTGGTAGAAAGTGCATGAATTCTCTCTATTAAGAAGGATAAAAGGGAAAACAAGAAGGAAAGAAACTTTTGCTGCAGTTTTTACCAAGGGAGGAACATACATTGTTTTTGAAAAATAAGAAAGAACGATCGTTTTTTTGTATTCTGTACATACGTATTAATTACTGCGTGAAAAAAAGAAACCCACTGTGGAATCGTCACATAGGGAGACCGTTGTGTGCATCTCTGGACATATAGACGGGGGAATGGGGTTAAGAGTTGGTGTGATCCTAGATGAGGTGATTTTCCTTGTCGGAGATTCACACTTCTCTGTGCGATTGATTCGCCTATATACATATATAAATAAAACTACATAGATAATATAGATATAAAGGATGTACACGTACATATAAACGCATTCTCTCTCTATCTCTTTTTCTTGCTCCGTCTCTTCATGCTCATTGAAGAAACTTGATTCGATTCTCAGATACTTGTACACGCGTTTATTACAAAGTACTAGATGTATTATCGAAGCGGGACCATCAACGTTACTTTGATACAACCTTATCGTTAGCACTTCCAATCAGTGCCGATACAAATATTGATGGAACAAGGGACATTATACAATAATGTGCTTGCGTATCGTCGACGGTTCTCGCTTCGGTAATGGTCGATATTTTACCTCTTAGGATTTCATGTAAGACAAAAGAAACTTCTGTTTTACGTACATATGTGTTATTACAAGTACAAGCAAGGTGAAAAAAGAAAGAATATTTATATGTCAAGTGGGTTGACCTGTGAAAATGATTTTGCTTTAGCGTTGATCCTTTTAGCCTGTAAAGGTGAATGTTACGTGTCGAAACGAGAAAAGCAAAAAAGGAAGAAAAGGAGAGCAGCTCTAGGCCTTTAGAATTCGTTTCACGGATCGCTTCTCTTTATTCACTTGCCTATTAACCAGAAATAAAACGCTAATTGCCTGTTTTTCTCCGCCTGTCCACATTTCTAATCGTTTCATCGAGGCTCGTTTATAAACAGGCATGTCAAATGAATCTTCAAAGTGTATTAATAAAAATGCAATGTTTATGTTCTGGTCCACTTCGTACATTTCCCCCACTTTTTTCACGAGTAATATACATAATACATAATAACATGTGTTCATTTCGTTTTTTTTGCGAGGAGAGCTCGAATCTGAATGAAAGAAAAAAACGGAAACGAATGTTGTATTGTCAAGACGAAAGCGCGATATACAAAATAGATATAAGAGCAGGTCGTTATTGAATATATTACAATCCAATATCTTGCAATCATTTTTATTTTGTTCTTGTTTTTCCTATTGCGAAGGAACAAACACCATTGCACGAAAAAAAGAGAAAAGAAAAAAGAAATGTGACGAACGAGTTCCGTTGACGATGGTTCGTTTGCCTGACCAACCCGTTTTCTTTTCATTCCGTTTCTTCTTTTTTCATCCACTGCGTTCAATGTTCTCGAGCGTTTCTCATCTGTGACAAAAAAGAAGATAGACATGTCGATGGAGTTTTTTTTTTTTTTTATATAAAGAATTGTAGAACCATGTGTGTGTATATATAGATATGTATATATATACGTGCATACATATACGTATTTACATACATATATTGTGATTTTGTAAAAACATCAGTAGTTTCTTTATTAGCTAATTTAAAGTTTCTTTTTATGTATCTTGATTATTCGTTTTACGAATCTCATCGCTCGATCGTGGATGTTTACGTGTTTACATGTTTATAGATGCAAAAGTGTAAGAAATGTGTAAAAATATATAAAGTATCCAAAATAAGGTATTTGTTACAATATTTAACGAGTGGAACAAATTTAGTTACAACGTTTAACGAATGAAAGAATTTTGAATAATTTGCTACTCGTCGCAGAACAGAATTTTTGTGAAAAAATGATATTTTGAAACTCGGGTAGCAAGCAAACGAATCATTGTCTTGAATAAAAACGAAAAATACATGTAGATATCGATAGCGAAATGCGCAGGAATTAAGTGTAGCAAGATAAATCCTTGGAAAACTAATTGACTGTTTAATAAAACATTGCAATTTACCGAGGACCTTGCCAGCACTCGACAAAACCGTACTCCTGTTTAACGTACATTGTATTTTTTTCGTACCTATTTGTTTAAAGCATTCCGTGATAAAGAAGAAAGAGAAATGTTTTATTTTCTCTACTTATAATGGAAGATAGTAGAGGAACTAAAGCGCGACTTTCCATTGCTTTCCTTTAAAGATTCGTAAGTTCGATCGCGACATTGTGATTTTATGTAGATCCATAGTTCTTTCACTCTTTTCTCCGTTTGATCAATTTTTTTCTTTTATTTTCTATTATCCTTATTTTAATCAATTCACATATATCAAACGTTTTTGTTTTAACCTTTTCTTTTAACAGATCCAAGGTACTTACAGACTTATAGATCATTTTATTTCATGTCTTTAGAAGCAATTTTCTTTTCCTCCTATTTTTCACTTTTTATTTTAAAAACTCATGGACGAAGGTATATGAATTATTATTTATAGATTACAAAAATGTATCTTTTTTTATTACGACTCGCGTTATTTGACTATCTGAAATTTCTATGGATCTACCTCGATTCGCCTACTATCACAGAAAATCGATTTTTGGTTCCTCCTTAAGTTATCTGTGTTTTATAATTCATATGGCCTAAGATCTAAGACATAACTTACACTTTTTTCTGTTCGAACATTTTTACTTATTCTAACATATCGAAATTTTTAAACTTTTAAATAATCCCCAATATACTTTGAAACGCTTTCAACAACTATTTCGTCGATTATGATGTTGTAAATGATACATGAGAAGCAAGTTCATTGATATGTTACGATAAAAATGTCCTGTTTGGTAAATATATACACTTATTAGTCAATGCGTGGATTTATCTAACGTTTTAACAAAATTATTAATTAAGTATGAAAATGTCCATTATTCTTGGTAAATGTATTCCTTCCTTAAATAATACATGTGTATGACTATGATCTATTAGTAAAAACTTAAATTCCATTGTTTGCGAATACATTTACTTACAAAATTGATACAGACACACAAATTGACTAGATGTATAAATTTATTATAAGGAATAGATTTAATTTCCCACATCATGGAAAATCTCCAATATCTCAGTTCGGTCGTTACGTTACTGGTTCTATTGTCTCCTTTTACAAGTGTTTTAAAGGGCGAACGCCGGTGAATTTCAAAGAATGTGGCGGGATGTGTATCGATTTGTATATACCAGCGCGTGATAGATACGAATACATAATACTTGTAACACGAGCACGTACAATGGCCTGAACAGAATGTATAAAATACATATTGTACAGTTTTTAGCGTTATATCATTACCTTTTTCTCCGCGCACGAAGCAAAGGCAAGGAGGAAGAGATATGCCCATTAACGGTCCTCTACTATTTCACCACTCTCACCGCTTGCTTTCTCTTTCAATTTTTTTCAACGTCTGTAATCGAGTTACCGAGTGAAAATTAATAAAAAAAAAAAAAATATAGATCGCGTGCAAATGTATCTCTGCTTGAAATTTTGAGCCTGGTGAATTGCGTTTCGCCACGAAACTCGCCCTTTGCGGTCTCCATCTATACAATCGATTCCAAAATCAATCAAATCTGACCGTTAAAACTGACATATAATTCTGTAAAGCATTTCTATAATTTTTTAAATATTCCTCCTTTAAAAGTAATTAAAATAATCATTCGTTTCGTCAGTAAAGTCTTAAAAAAAAAAAAAAAAGAAAAGAAAAAATCGAAATATCGATCGTTTGTACGGATTGGATTGCAAAGAGTGGAATCTACTCGAAATTTTACAAAGGATCTTATAAAACAGGATTTACTCGAAATCTTATGTATCGACGAATGTGTCCACTGGATAGGCTTGTTATAAATTAGAATAATGCGTATAGATAAATGTATATATATATAGACAGTAAGATTGAAAGGTAATCTTGGCAGCTCGAGCAACGTGTTTCGCGTGTCATCGTTGCTACGTTATTTTCTTACAAAGGAATTCACAAAGTTGAAGATATATCCTAAGCTGAATTCTTTGTTCGCGAGGCTACAATGTTGTGGTATCGATTTTGGCTAGCGATGCACGCGATACACCATGTGTGCGTGATTTAAGTATTCTACCAATTCCTAGCGTGAACTTTCATGTTGTTTTACTTCAAATGATTAATACGCGCAAATGTACATGTATATATGTGTATGTATGGCGTTTTTGGTAAATAGAAAAGCGCGAAAGTGATTTATGTAGCGATGTAACACACGATCTGTTGGGAATATTTTTGCGAAGCAAATGTGCAAATATATCCCCGATGATCGCTCGTTTCGAAAAAGTGCAATTTGTTTCTAGATAAAACAACCCTTGAATGAAACTCGAACGATAATAGACGATTTATACACCTCGACTTCCTCTTTCGTTTCTTTTTTACATCTAACGATATACATAAAAGTATAATTCTTTATTTAAACATACATAATTCCTTTATCTCCTGATTTTATTCCTCGCAATTCTAACAACTTTTGTTCTTATTTTCTTAAACCGAATAAATTGCATGTTAATAGGAAATTGGATAGACTTTAGAGACGTACAAGTGGATACAAGCTAGAAAGCTGTAACGCTGTAATGGTAGTTTAGAAGTCGAGTCGTTTGTTATTACGTTCTGACAAGTTGCTGTATCGGTCAAGTTTCATTTGAGCGATTTTACCGCGATATCGAAGAACAGACGCAATGTTATAAACGTGTGACAGTGATGTTTGAGCAATGTATATGTATATAGAGCAGAACGTAGATTGATCTTGCGTGTGCGTGCGATGGAAAGTGCAAATCAGTCTGTGGGTAAAAGTGCCTTCGCTACGAATTTCGCTTCATTAAGCGGAAGTTTATTACTGGTGTCTCGATCATTCAGTTTCACTTTCTCTTTAAAATTGCTCTTTCGCCTGTCGATATATATATATCTTCTTTTTTGTTGATGATTAACTTATTTATCGAATGTTATCTTCTGACCTGAAAATGCTCGATATTGATTACATAATTCTGTTTACTTCTTAGTATTTGTATATAAGTTCATCGTACTGTTTAAATATAAAAAAGAAAATGAAAGAATCACCGACAGGCGGATAAACCGCGAAGAAACGAGCAAAAAAAACCGGCTCTTTGTAGTTTTTCCACATAGTATTTCGAAACTTCTGATACGGTAAGCGTAGTGGCAATCGATCTGAGGTTCTATTAATAAATCAGACCGATTATCCCGGACGATAATCTCGCAAAGTAGGCTATTGTTTAATTATTTAATAATAGATCGTGAATGAGTTTTATATTCTAACGTAAAACCGCATTCTGCATACCGTGTATGCTGACAATATTTTTTGTACCTTGTCCAAATAAAAATGGGGTCGATTGTTTATCGTGATCGCCGTTTGTAAAATCGTGATTTCCTGTGATCTCGTAAGAACTTTCAGTTCCAAACTCCAGCGGCAATATTTTCTTCGTTGCATTCTTTAAAAGAGACGAACAAGAAAAGCAAAGCTGTAAAAGCGATATAAATATAATGTATGTATTATATATTATATTTGTATGTATGTACATAATACAGTATTATATTTAAGACAAGTATATAGATACTTAAAGAATATCGAAGTTCGATGAGATATATACATATATATATATTTGTATTGCACAATCATTTTATCGTTGTTGCCTTTATATTAAGGTACAATATATTGAAGGAAACTGAAAAAAAAAAAAAGGAGAAACGAAAGTTCTTTTGCAGCACGAGTTCGATTGTTATACGATACATGTTACGTTTCTTTATTAGGAAACGATATATCATAATATTGTGATGTGTAAAACCCTGCAATCCTAAGGGCTTCATAGAAATACCTTTGACTCTTTGGCTGACGCTTCTTAAACAGCGCTTCCGGTCGTCGCATCTCTGTTATGTAATTGACGGGATTAAATGCAAAGGAAATGCAAGTTATACCTTACCAAACAGTTCAGCGCTCAAACGACTAAAGCTAGAAGCATACGTTCCATTTTGGAAATTTTCTACTGTTACCTAACGTACAGTGGCTCACGAAAGTATTTTAACACTTACTATACATTATACATAACTTCTATGTTAGCTATACGTATCGTAGATGTGTTACAGGAGACATTTTAAAATTTCATTAGTGATATAACGAGACACGAGTGCTATGATTACATTGGACAAATTGGAAGTCAATTTGAAAATGTATATATAAATTACGAGATATTTATTGTAAATATACATTTGATAAAAAATATATGTACATTATGAACAGGCATCTTAAGTATAATAACTGGCAAAAAACAATCTTACTAAATGAATTTAAGGCTTAATATAATGGACAATTGACTAATAATTCTCTCATCTATACATATATGTGAAATATATACTTGCACTAAATCTCTCGTAGTTTTTATACACATTTTCAGGTTTGTTTCAATTTTTATACATACATATAATCATGGTAGTTGTGTTTCAATAACATATACGATTACATAATATATTAATAAAAATATATAGGAATTTACTTTTGTGATCAACTGTATGTACATATATATATTCTATACTTCATGGTATACTTGCAACAAACTTCTCTTCAAAGTTTCATACTTCCTTGCACCTTTGCATTTAATGTCATCAAACTTTTGTATCAAATGTAATTCTGTTGTTTCTATGAAATTTTTTAATAGACACACTGAAAAGTTATATAACTAGTTCATATAATGGTAAAATTAGAGAAAGAAGTATTCTTTTGTTCAATTATTGCGTGAAAAATATTACACCCTTCTTTGTCACGCCCTCTTTAGGAAAAATTTCGTAATCGAACCATTCAAATTCTCAGGGATCTCGGCACATGGAATATAGGTTATTCATGGTATTGAGCGATAATGGTGGCGAACCATAATGAAGTTATGCTATATAACAACATTGTACAGTGCATAAAGATATATTGGCAATGTGTGTTGCGATAATCAGACGATATTATGTCATAATTGGCTTACATTCACACTACTTGTTCATATGGCAGATTGCCAAACATAGTTGCCAACCACAGTTGTCCGAAACGTTGTTGCGAATATCACCTGCTGCTCAATAACAATTTTATTTTTGAAACTTAAGGATAGAAAAACATTTATGACGGAAAATTATGATCAAGTTAACGGTAAATTCAATCAAATTTTCTTAGGATAAAAGAGATAGATTTCTAGTATGTAACGTTACATCGTGAATGTCGCAGAGTGCGCTGACTTACAACGGTTTTATCATTGTCGGTAAATCAGATTCATATCATTAGACTGCGGATATTTATGCAATTTGATATTTTTATAAACATGGTTAAAGAAGTCGTATCTAAATAGAAATTTGTTTCATCTACTAAGTATCATAATAAGTGCTTTAAATATCTTATATATCTTTACATATTATATTCTATAGATTTTTCGAATCTTAAATTTGCAAATCGCAGTCTATACGTTATGTATTGACTTCTGTTTGAAAAAAGTACTACAACTGATTACTAAAAGTTTTAGATCTGATTTTTAAATGTTTTTTGAATGTCAAAAGCAGGATTCGAATATTTGAAGGACCAACTGATTTATTATTAAGAATAACATTTGAATTTCGTAAATGACTGTGATATATTACTTTCGATGAGTATCAAGCTTAAATAAAGGAAATATCTATCTTATTCACAGCATGATATATTTACAGAATTATGGCCTTTTAACCTAGGTGTGCCACAGTGAATACATAACTCATATCCTTTTAGAGAAAAGACAAATGAAGCAAATGAGATAATCACACGCACGTACATATATAGTGTTTATTATTTATATCCTGTTGATAGACAGAGTAACTTGTAATTTGTGATTTTTAACCTGAAACTTCTCGAATTAGCATTTCTAGTGGCCAATAGAATAACAATTTAAAATAGCATTTGTGGTAATTTATAATAAATAATAATTCTTTTTGAAATTAATGTTTTAGATAAAACGTTACGTAAAATGTTAAGAATTGAAATATTGTTTCAATTTGCCGCGTACTTTCTGGCTAAATATTTGAAAATGATGATCATGGCAGAGTAAGGAGAGTAAGACAGTTTTGAACGGACAATAAACATCAAGGGAGAGCTACTCTGTAATGGTATGCAAAATCAAACAGAATTTCTTTAATAAATATTTGATTTTGAAATAAAATAATTTTCTGAAATAATTTTCTTAAATAATGTATAAGTAAAAAGGAAGAACATATAAAAATAAAAGGTAAACGAACATGATACTTTTATTTTATTCTAAACAGAAATTTATAAAAATGATGATAAATTTTCTATATTTCATACAGAAAAAAATGTTAACTTTTTTCAATCTCATTCTTTGTTGATGTGCTTTTTTTTAGAGATTAGAGAAATTGGAATATTAAAAAAGAACAGGAGTTGCGTGCAAACGTTGAACAGGTGTGGTACATTTTACTAATCATCTTAATGTACCTTCCTTAATTAATAAAAGCTTGATGCGGAATTCAGTTTCGCATCACGCATTATAAGACTTTCATTACTGAAATAGAATCTGCTTTCTTCGGCGAAGTCGAGAGTTCTACAACAATCTACCTCTTTCAAGTTCACCAAAGAATCATATGCACTTCATAAGAACGTTGGATTGAGGTAAGTCGATAAAGCGTTCTAAGTTTAATCATTTCGTGATCAATGCATTAATTAACCTAATCCTTTTTTCAGTCAATACAAAATTCAGAAGACTATAGAGTATACAAAACTAGAATTAAGAGGTATTGCATATTTATAAAAATATTGTCTACAGTTCCTGCCATATGTTAATAAACTATATAGCACAAAAATATTATAAATTACATATGGCAGAAATTATTGATGAACAATTTTTGAAAATTTCTATCAATTACATTTATTCAAAATGAAATAAAATAATATAATATTCAATAAAGAACAAAATTCTATGTATCTATGAATTGCAGGTATTTAAATGATTGGTGAAAAACTGACCTAATATTCGTATAAAGTGGACAACATTCGAATAGTCGTTGCATACACAATGCTTATCTACGATTGTTCGTTTCCCTGCCTGTTCTTCAATTGTTCATTCCACGCGACCACACTCGGAAGCGTCAAAATTTCGAAAGACGTTATTGGCCTGGCAGAGACCACGTTGGCGCCGTTTTGTCGTACGTCAACTTCGTCCACGGAAGCGTGCATGTGCATAGTGATGGCATTGATCCTCACCTCCGTACGGCGTCAACAGGCTACAAAAAAAAGTGGCCACTTTGTGAGTATTTAACTACTTGCCGATACATGATATGTATTATTAAACGGTTTGGTCATATCCATCAATCTCTATTATAGAGATTATTTGCTATAAATTACATTTATAACATGAAAAGATATTTTTTATATTGTAAATGACGAATGGATGAAGTGGAATGATAAATTGTTTAATTTAAGTTTAGAGAAATATTTCTCAAGTTTAATAGGATGACAAAATGAATCAAATATTGTGTCTTGAAATTAAAAATGGGAAATGATAGGACTTTAATGTTACATTTGTTCCAATATTATATATAAATAACATAACTTTTTCTAATAATAATAGCTTTAATACGTGATAAAATAAAGTAAAACATTCATTATTTCCATACTTTCGCGTAACTTAAACTTATTTTCCGTAAGTCCTGAAAAAGAACATTTATAATGTTTAATAATAATACACAAATAAAAGTTGAACTCGTAACAAAGTGAGGATAGAACCGATATCTGTATCATACCTACTCTAAGTAAATAACTACTTGAAAACTAAGTAGATAACTACTTGTACCATGCTATAGGACGATAAATATTTTCGTTAGACCCATCGCTACCAGTGTATCTCCATCTTTTGCAGTGGTGGTTGTTCGGTTGGGTCGATAAAGCCTCTTTCCCTCTCTATTACTCCTACTACTTCTCCTTATCTTCTATCCTTATTACACCGTTCTCCCTTCCAATGACACTGCAAAGAGTAGGGGTAGGAGTATTCGAGCAAAATGGGGAATCGCGAGTTTTGTCAGTGGCCTCTCGGACACGAAAGCGTCGGGTTTACGAAGGGTGGTATGTTTCTTGCGTCTTCTCGTCGGTTCAGCAAAATTTCACGCGGTCGTATAGTTCATTTTTCGTGTTGTATCATTCGATAAGTGCAACATCCATCGCATTGTGGTGCCCCTCAAGGCGATCATAAGGTAATGTGTTTAACGTTTAAATCGCATGCTACGCCTACGCAACGATAGGTGGTGATGTTCTTGTGACAGAAATACACACACATACACATGCCTACATAGACAGTAAGGACACACCTGCATCTGCGAAACGAAATAATTTTTCACTTTTAAGAATGCTCTGCTGGTTAGGTTTGATGAAAGAAAGGTGAATGGTGAGAAAGAGGTTAAGAAATGCGAAGTAAGATTAGAGACAAAGTGCAAGAGCATATAGATGGATACAGGAAAAATATTGTTATCAAAACGGATTGATGGATATGATAACTGCGGATGTTTATGGAAATTTATGTTTTTATGAACACGACTGACAAAATGGGACTTCACCCTTTTGAAACGAATTTTTTTTAGCAATGAATCTGATAATGTACGAACTATAATGCACTTAAATCGAGACACATAAATAATATGTAATCTTTTAAATAAGATATGAAATTCCACCTATAATGGAATGCTAAAAAATTCAAATTTTCAGCAGTTGTTCTAAAAGCCATCTTGGCACATAGTGTACCATTAGCCTCGAAAAGGTTAATTAGGAGAAAAAGGAACTTAGGAACCTAAGTAAGAATTTCATTCTTCAAATATTACATTTTGTACGTTTTTAAATGTTGTCTACATTTTGTATATGACTGTATATTTAAGTTTTCTATAGGTGCATAAACATCCGCAGTGTAATAACGCTACACAAAGTATTAAGTAAGAAAAAAAGTAGTAGAATCGCGATATCGAAAATTGGACGAGGACGTAACGAGATTTCGTGTGAATTTTAGCAGAAAAGTTTGACGATCGATTGGGAAACTCGAGGGGAAATTCGGTTAAGACTTAAGGTACCTAGTATTGTTCAGAGAATCTTATTAATGCTGTGTTTATTTGACAAAACGAAGAACGGGATGTATCTTTACGGAAACTAAGTCAATAAGGAAAAAGATTGCGGAACCCGATGCATTACGGAATATGTATAACCACGCGATAGGTAGCGTATTAAGAACCATGCAGCATAAGATTATTTTATCGGTGCAGCATAAGATTATTTAATCTGTGATTATTTAATTCGTTCTTTGTCGCATTATTAACAAATCATCGAGTTATGAACGAAGATTTCAGTTTTTCTTAATTCACTTCTCTTTTTCTAATTTGTTCTATATAACCTCAAAATAAAATTCGAATCATTTATGTAATTTATAATTGAAATAAATTTCTAATTTGTTCCTTATGAATTGGTTATAAATATACGATAAAAGACGATACCGTAATTTGTTCAATTGAAAACGTTGAGAAACTGCATCGAAATGTTTCTTCGAATCGACGAAACGTTTTCCTTTTTTAACCACACAGTCTTCTGATGGTGGGAAGCGCTTTGATTAAAATTTTAATTTGCTCTCCTTAATAGATTCTGCAAAGCCCAGCAAGTTGAACAGTCTGTCGAGAATATTAAGGCATAGCGTTGGAAAGATTCCGAAACATTGCGTCGGACAGGGAATTTAGTACGGTAAATGGCGAGATAAGTTTGCCGCACGAAACTTTCAAATATCTTGTCTTCTTTTTTAAATCTAAAGAAACCACTGTCGCGCAAAGGAATGCGAACTATGTTATCGCGTGTCTGATCTATTTGAAGCAACAAATAGAATTTTAAGTTTGGAAAGGACGTTGTGCGCTTGTTTGATACAAATGTGATCTGATACAAGCGGAGAAAAATGTTTGAATTCAATGTTGCATGACAAGATACTTCAAAAATGAATTTTTTTCTAAATAATATATTTATTGCAAAAATTTTAATATTCTGCTTGTATGACTTTGAAATTTTCGAATTTCGATTTTATGAAATTCATAGCAAAAAAATATCATCCTTTTATTGTTATTATTTCTATAATTTTTTATTCATTAACAATGAATTATTATTGGCGAACAAATTTTTATTTGAATAAAGGTTGTCATAAAATTGGGATATTCTAAACCAAGCATCGAAAGTAGTAGATTATTAGTAGTTTTTTTTCTTATTCATATTCATATATATTTTTTTAGATTCATTATAGTATCTTATATATCTTTATTTCCGCTTGCCTTTCGGCTTTGCGGTGGCCTCCGGTTTACATCGAATAAAAATACACTGGATTCTCTATAATAAGTTTGCTACCGATAAATATTATGGGTCACAGATGATCCACGTGGAGCCCAACGTTTCAACATATATTTCCTACTCCACGTGAGCCTAACTCAAAACCATTTTAACCCTTCTAAACGATACAAAGTCACATACTTATTTATAAAACAAGTATATTCTGCTATAATGAATGAAGATCATTTTCTTCGCATTTTCTACATACTACACACATTAATGGCTGTCTTGATTGGGGTTAGGTTGACAGAAGCAGTGGATAAGGTGTTGTCTGCGAGTAGCCTAATCGCGAGATAAGCGTAAGCAACAATGCAGCATTTCTTTAAGCGGCACGACCATATATCGATCTGCAGGTTTTAATATACTCGCTAATATAAGGGGGACATTTTATATCCCTTCATAACCTACAATGTTCTACAATGTACTTCTTTCTCAGTATCCTTTCTCCGTATTCACTTCACATATCTGATCGTTTCTATATGAATTAATATATTGGAATTTTTAAATAGGGTTCTTAAATATATTTCTACAGATAAATATTTCATTTAGAAACATTTCATAGCTGTATCAGAGTCCTTTCGCACAATAATTTATCAAGTAATAATATCGGTGAATCGGTAAGTCATTTATAGGTTATTGTAGCTTATGGACTTGTGTTTTATGAATTCACATTGTTACAATCTTGTAGTTTTGCAGTTTTGCAAATTATAGGTTATAGATTGTAAGTTCCTATTTTAGAATTTTGCAAGTTACAAATTGTAAATTATAGATTTCTTGCAATTTTACAGTGACAAGTTTAAAATTTCACTAATTATGTTAGATATATCAATTGTGCAAGTAAACTCATATATTAAAGTTAAAGCGAATAGGTTAATGGTAATAATTAAGTCAGTCTGAAAAGTTTTGTTTCTTTGGCGTTATTTTAATTGAAAGCGATCAATTTCCGTTAAACTTAGTAGTTCGTAATTCAATAACCACGCGATTCATCTTATCTTTGCATCGCGTCAGTGCGGAAATTTTTCTCCAGAATATGTTGATTAAATTTCACCATCATCCTTGCATGTGGC